TATCAAGGAAGAATGCGAAAACAGCTCGGCTGTTGTTCAGCATCGTGCCATCAATAATCAGGAAATAGATTGACAGCACAATCTGTGCTGAAAAAAACTGTAGATTAAGAAAAATCAAGGTGGGTCTGTTTATCCAGGCCAAAAAATGTATGAATAGGGACTGTGGCATGGATCTGAGCAAAATCTTGAATACGACTGTAAAAAGCACTGTCAACATTAATCCATGCGTAACCAGAATTCATTATTCCCATTGTAGACTTAAACCATAAACGTAAATTCTGGTTTGATCTTGCAGATCAATTTATAATACTTTACCGTGCCAACGGGGCCGAGTGTGACTCTAAAAGTGATTTGTAAAGCAAACTATATGTGCAAAGCTATCCGGTAAGAAATATGAACACCGTGGAATTAATCTCCCATATAAAAAAGGAATGCTCAATATTCAAGACTACGCCAAAATTAATATGGTCCATCGAATGACTGAGCTTAGCACGGATGTTTCAGCTCATGTCTCACGAACCCTTTTTCAAAGTAGGAGGTTAGTGAAGTCCGCAGTGGTTGGTTGTTTCCTTCTGGCTCCAAACCTCCCAACCGCTGTCGAGAATATGATAATAAATAATAAGAACTTTATCAATCCCCCACTTTGAAGAAGGATCGTGAAACAAGAACCCTAACGTCGATATTGAACAATCATGATCATCAATCAAACCGCGTTTTATGCTGTTTTACAAGTTTTTCTATCGTTTGTTCAAAAATGTGCAAAAACTCAACATGGCGTTCAGCGACGTTTGCTGTTGTTGTTTTGTCGTCGCCATCTGATGCTAGCAGACCTTGAACACCAGAGTTACTCACATTTATTACTCTCAACGTTAGACGTTTGCTATCACGGCGTTATTACTCGTTTCGTTATACCTGAAGCTTCTGTATTTCATACCCTACGGCCTTTCATATATCATCTGTGCGCGATTTTCCACCTACAGAAATTCGGCGGTACTCAATGTTACTCGCTGTCTCCACAACGTGTAATCTTCTTTTAAACTTGACGGTTAATTTTATGGACTTGCGATCAGAGTTAGTCCACCCTGTTTATCGACTGTTTTCTAGCTTTATTTATTTAAATAAATACATTTATGAATTTGTTTGTTTCTATTGTTTTGCCTAAAAACCTCATCCGTCGTGTTGTAGGTCAAACAACAAACTATTGTTGTTGTTGTAAAGGATTATAACATTGGTTTGTCGAATAAGTGCATTGTCGAAAGCTGTGGTAAATTTTCCTTTATGAAAATCATGCATGCCGCATTAAACTAGTTAGTATTGTGTTGTTTTTTGATCGTTCAGAGGTTAACAGACCTTGAACAGCAGAGTAACCCAGATTTATGATATTTGACCGTTAGAAATGGTACTTCAGGTTGACTTCGGGATCTTAGGTACTTGAGATTGAAGTCTGCTGCTGCGAAAAAGGTCGTATTCCTCTTGGCAAGGTCTGCTTCAACGAGATGTTCTTACGTTTTATTCTGTCCTTCTGTGTTTGCGACCACTGCAAGTTCCCAAGCAAGAAAAGTTTTGAATATGTATGCATTCCATTTCTGGGCCGTTTTATCAAGCAGAGCCGGACTCTGACTTTTGGCGTATTGTATCCTTTGGTAGATGTTAATTGCGAAGATACTATTAGTCCCTTAGCTAGTACTTAACGTTTATTGTGATTGGTCATTAGCTTGTTATCACATGGTCATCAGTGATCTGCTTAATTCAATGACTGGAGTTGCTCATTTGGTAGATCGTGACTTCGAACGCTGGACAGATCACTGCTTCTTCGTCCTTTCAAGATGGGTGAATGTCTATGATTCGGTGGGAAAGTAAGGAAACAGAAAAATAAGCGCTGTAGTGGTCATCTAGCTGTAGATGCAGACATAAAAATAATGAAATAAAACAGTACTGACAGAGGACCAGGGTGCACCACGGAAGAAAGATGTTTGGAATAAGCCGAATTTTTCTGTTGTTTGTAAGTATTAGGAATAATTTTTGTGAATTTCAAGACGAAATTGATACGATTAACTCAGCGTGGCTTCCGTTAAATTTATAAATTTTTGCTGCTTCCACCTTTTTGTTGTTGTTTTGTTCCTCTTCATAAGATTTTTGGTTCCAACAGTGCTTAGTCTTATGACTAAGTCTCATGAGACTATTATCCAATTTTTCTCATTTCCTACAGGTTGGCTGCCACCATGAAGTGCAAGCGTTGTTGTGCATCCTATTACGGACTCCTTGATGCTAGTTTCAGATACTGAAATAATAAAATCATTATTTTTGTATACACCGTGTTTAGGATCGTACATCTGAGATACCGTTTCAGCTACGTCAGATGATCAAATAGCTGCCAGTAAATAATTTTACTGATTAAACAGACGCTGCTGAATAAGAATAAACAAATTCGCTGCCAGAGTTCGCAAGCACTCTGAATTCTAAGTCATATAATTCTAGAAGTCTCATGATAAAGCTGAAATAACGCCGTGAGTTCGAAGTGGCGAAAGACATGAGCTATAGGAGCAGTTAAGCAATCATACTGGTTGAATGATTGATTGAGCATCACGTGGAGTACGTGCTGCTGCAACCGGGCACAGTAACAGCTGTGTTGCAAAGAGAAATAGCGTAGCTAGGGCGATTTATTCTCGTTTTCTCTATTCTTCCGTGAAGTCCTATGGCAGTTCGATCGAAACTGTCGGGTCTTTGTTAAATACGTAAATTTACTTCCTGCCCTTCGTTCTGTCAACCATGGAATAACAAGACATGACGCGTTTTCTTTATATCAGTTATAAACAATCATTTATTGAGGATGGTTGTAAACACAACACATTAGGCTGATGCCATAGTTTCGAACGATTTATAACTCTCGAACAGGCTATACATACATACATTAAAGAAGCAGACAGAATACTACAAATCAGTTTTAAGAATTACAAATGATTTATTTTTTAAGTTGGCTGTTTCGAAAATTTGTTTTTTATATGTGAACACAAGTTCATCTACTTTACAATTTCGTAATTATATATGGATGTTTGCATTATTTTATTTCCAGCATGGTATACGTTGTTCTGAGTGTTATACAGTCCTTAAGGTAGATCAGTCTTAAACGATTAAGTGGAAATATATTACTCTACTTTTATTACTTATTCATTTTACCACGTATTGACCGCGTCTTTTAGCATCATTATTTACAAACAAGCATTAACTATTCTGCCTAAGCGTTTCGCAGGTTGCTCGCAGTTCGTTGTGAGAAAATTCGGCTGCTTTCCACGTGATCATATGCAGTTATATCATATCATATGCAGATAAGGATCAGTAAATTACGAAAAGCGGCCTTTTAGCCGTTCGTCTTCTCTCGTTTCAACATTCATTTCAGAGTGAGATTGGTCACAGTTTAGAAGAGTTCGTTACAAAAGTTAACGGAAAAGGTAGATCGAAGACATAACAAATGCTTCGGTCAGCTCGCTTTCGGATGATGGAAATAATTTACGGTAAAACAGACCGTGCAAATAGAATTGTCCATAGAGGCAAAGCAGTAAAACGTGGTCCTGGCGTCTAGATGTGGTCACACGTGGTTAACAGGGGACGCGTTTAGAGAGAGGCAGAGAGCAGGTTACAGTCTCTCATGGTTGCGTCTCTGCAGCACCAAATCAGGCGGTTCAACCATATCCGTAGACCCGCTATTCATTGAGGGCGACAGTGAGGAAGGAGGGAAAGTAAAGCACGAAAATCACCTCTGAGTGTCCTAGTTCTAGCCTGCGAAGCCGACG